TCGGGGAAAATGCAACCCTCTTTCCTGAGCATGGTGGAATCTGTACACAAAACCACAACATCTCAGCCACATTAAGAACACTGTAACTACAACAGCTTCGTGAGACAGCAGAGTCCAGAGAATGCAGACAAAAATATTTCTGCTTTCTCTTTGTTTGATCAGACAGGCACAAACACCCTTCCCATTGCTTACTTTGTTACAATGAAGCAGTTCACTGCTGATTCATCCCAATGACTAGGCACAAAAATTCTAATGCAAAACAACAAAATGGCCGAGGAAGGTACTGTATGTGATGTGCGAGTTATGCAGGGAGAACCAAAGGATACAGCCTTGTCCTGAGGCAATCTTGAGGACTTCCAAGGCTTGGAAGCAGCCCATTATCCCTGGGACTTTTTAAAAAGAATGCATAATGTTACTAAAAAAACTATTGCTAACACAGACTGTATTCTGTACAAACTTAATGGCTTCTGGGCAAGTACTCACCCACTCCTAACACCCCTCCATCAGAACAGTTGGTCACTGTCTCTGGTGGTGGGGGTACGGGGTACAGACACCTGTAGCACGGTCCTCCATGGTAGTTATATACGGCCAACTACACACACAAATGATGTTACAAATCTCGAAGTGCCTCAACTCACTGTAGGCAAAAAGAGGGATGCCTTCTACTTTACCTGTCCCTCCATTCTTAGGGCGCTTGCTGACACAAGAGGCTTGCCGCTGAGGACACAGGCATCATTCACCAGATAACGAGTCGGAACATTGTCTGAACAATCAGCCACAATGTCATATATGAGGTCAGTAAAGTCAAGGTGTTATCACAGACAAATGTAATCCAATAAAATATACATTGTTTCATATGGATTTTCAAAATGCACATCATGTAGTTTGATAAGCAGGCGTGAGCTTGACTTAGTGGATGGCAGCTGAAAGATGCATTCATGACAAAGAACTGGCCATCGGCAGGTCTGTGTAACATACGGAGGCTGAGGATACTGCTGAATGAGTTGCAAGGCGTTCTCTGATGAGAGCTGCAGGTGGTAGGGAATACACTCCACTGTTGAGTTTAACCTACAGACAGAGCCACACACACTCAACAATATCTATTAATCTACAAACAGACACATTTTGGTCCTCCATAATTAGCAGCTTTAAAACAGATTAGTAATTTTCTGAATTGTCAGGGCCAAAGTGGTTGTTCAGGTCACCTGAAACTGACATGAAACCTCAGTCATATGTTCACCACTTCTTTCACTTTCTTAATCCTTACCGTCTGCCTCTCAGCTATCAAATAAAAAAAAATAATAATAAAAATTATGTTATACATGCAGTAATGAACAACTGACAGTACTAGAAGGGAGAGGCCAGTATACTGTGTTTGACACAGCATCAAAACACTGTAGAATTGATTTTTTGTCAAAGATACGATGCCCTCATGTGGCTATCGATATACAATGTGTGTGCTTTCTCCCTCACAGTACAGTACGGCTGTTGTGAGGGAGAAAAGCACCAAAACGGCTGGCTCTAAAATAAAATGGTAATATTTGCAGACTGGAGAGAAATATACAACCAAATATAACCTGTGGTGAGACTGGAGAGCGCCAGCATACACTACAAAAAGCATAAAAACACACCAATTATCACAGATCCTGAACATTTAATGATGTCAGACTTCTCTGTTTCAGCTTTGCTTGTGCTGTTTGGCACTAAATACGCAGAAAATGCCCAACAGCACTTTTGCAATACTAGAAAATACTGTTATTAAAGTTCTTTTCCTTTCCATGCACCATATATTGTCCCACGTATCGTCTATAAAGGAAAACATTATATGTGAGATGTACTGGGGTCAGTCAGTACCTCCTGACTGCACAGGCAGCAGATAGAGCTTTCGCCTGGCCCAGGTTGTCCTCCCCATGAAGCACCTGCCTGTGCAGATTACTGAGCTCCACCTCGTCATAATCCAGCAGGCCCAGATGCCCTGGGCAGACACAGGGTTGAACAAGTCAGTCAGAAAGAATTAATGTCAGCCCCGATAACCATGAATGATAAACTCTATAACCAGGGTTCAAATTTAGTAAAGAATGCTTCTGGCAGAAAAAAACAACCCATAAAGGTTGATTCAGTATGCTTGACCTTTTACCTTTAGTTCTTGGCTGTTGCTTATTTTCAAATTTTCTATCTCCTCACCACTGAATGCATTCAATTACTTTGCCTATAGGTAGCATGTTAATGTTATACTGGTTCTACATAAACGTCTATACCCCTTTCCTTCAGTCCATTAACACACTCTTGTCTCTATTACAGTACACCTGATTTCAATTATTAAACAGCATAAACATTAAAATGTGCAATATATTTCTTTGGGGAATATAAATGAGCAATTATGGTTGCAAACCTTTCCCCAACGGGTACATTTATTAGGTCCTGAGCTAGACCACTACTATTACACCCTGCCTAAAGGAAAAGACAAACGTCTCTCTCAAATTACTTTACCTCATATATTTTATCTAAGGACCAATATCGAAAGGTTAATGATTTAATTAGGTTGGTACATTGCTGTGCATTAGATCACCTACCGATGCCTGCTGCCGCAAGGTACTGTGCCAGGGGGCAGCCCAGCCCTCCACAGCCCACAATCAGCACTGAGGTCTTGGATATGTTTAGCTGACCTGTGAAATACCAAGATTCATCCTTGTGCATTCAGCCATCCCATGAATCTCACATGACAGAATGCTCACTCTGCTGTATATCAGAAAAAACACTGTCTCTGTAGCCATCTGTACCTTGTACACCAAGCTCAGGCAGAATGAGCTGTCTGCTGTACCGCATGATGTCCTCATTGCTGAGGGACGCTTTGGCTTTCAGTGGGGTTAGGGGAGTCACTCTGTCACGCAGCTCCAGTGTTGAGGTATGGCTCTGGTATGTAACACACCACAGAATAATCATTGATCCACAAAACAGAAAACACAGGTTTGTGCAGGAGCTTTGAGCCATATGGGTCACAGCCCTCAACAGTCAGCCTCTATGAAATAATAAGATAGGTTTAACATACAATATCTCTCTGTGGGCTACAGAGAGACATTCAATTCTGTAATACATGAGCGGCGACAGCAGCTGGCGCAAACTGATAGGCTATAGATATATATCATATGAACGGTGCTAACCTGTTGGTTAAACAAGAAGGCAAAGAGATCCTGACGCTATATTCTGCGGTAATATGTTGTTGAACTTACGTCTGGCAATACTTTCTCAACTTTCATACCTTTTCTAATTGAGCCAGTTTATTCTTCAGATCAGCAATCTCTTTCTCTTTCTCCCTGAGCTGTGCCTTCAAGCTACACACCTCCTGAGCCATCGCCGCTGGTAAGTACAAAGAACACCCGCAGTAACAAAAACACGTCTGCCGTAGTTATAACACAACTGTAGCATAGAAAGATGTTGACACATGAAGCGCACGGTGTATACTTCCGCGTTGACCACGTGGTAGGTGACGTAGGGAATCAGTGGGTGTGTGCCTTCAATATAAAAAAAAATTCCACACGGAAGAACTGTAAATTTTCCATCTTGTTAATATTCAGTGACAAAATGTAGCTACTTCGATACAAAGATGTTATCCCAGCAAAATTAGAGAAGTAGTCTACAATGTAAAATAGTTTATAAAATATACGAACGAACAATAGTTATTTGGAAAAACATTAACAGTCAAAGAAACCTAATAGGCTAAGTGATTTGGAAGGCAATCCTTCTGTCTTATAAAATAATCAAATACAACAGATCTTTTACTCTTGTTCACCCATCTTTTCAATACAACTAATATGTTTATATATTCGTCTTATTCTTTGTAGGTCCATATGTGTGTAAGTACGTATCAGTAGGCCTGTTATTGTTTATTTAATTAGGCATATTTGACTTTCTTTAAGCCTTCTATACTTCACCATAGATTTTCTAAAAAGAAAAATGTATATCAATATATTGATTTTTATTTATTGAACCCCTTTGTACAACAATCAAGTAAACAGCCTAAATATTCAATGCTGTTATTTGATTTATAATCACTAAAACAAACGTTTTTCTAGCTCATAAAGCTTTGTAGACTACAGTCTACCTGCAAGACCTAACTGTGGTAAATTATGGCTATATTGAGAATGTGTATATACTGTATATAGCCTGTATATTTTTATGTTCTATTTTCATTCAGTTTTGGTTTTTATTGTCAAATGGTCCCGCTTAAATGTTGACTGATGTTTAGGAGACTATGGGTTTAGTTAGATCATTTGCAGCCATCGACATGGAAATGAAGGACGACGCTACATGGGGTCACAAGTTATTATTGTTCCACGAAGAGCAAACCCATACGCACACACATGAAACCCGCACGTAGCAGTTCAGCGACGTGCTGTGGTTTAGAGAGCCTCGGATCCACCCTCCTGCTTTTCACATGATCTCGAAGATTTCGCAAGGAGAGAGGCGAATGTGGACAACAGCGATGTCTAGTCGAAGCCATAGTCCGTCCATAATGCGTTTATTTTACACTGTGGCCATCTGGATGACATTCAGCCCCTGCACCAGTGGAAGCTCCTGGACTCAAGAAAAGGTGAAGGATCTGTTCTCGTTTTGTTGTCTTACAATTACAGGTTTTGCATTTAGACATTCATCACACAACCCACTCCAAATATGAAACCAATTTAAAAACTTCCCACATGCAGCGTTTTTGTATTTTTGTCATGTAGTTGACTTTTGAGGAGGCTTAAATGATTGATTGTATTTGTCTGTTAACTCTCGTTTTGAATTTGTTATTCAATTATTGACTTAAGAAAAATATTTCAATTGTAAAAATAATGTAATTAGTTTTTTCTTTATATTTGGTCTGTACCTGTGCATGTAGGCTTTTTCCTTTTACCACAGAGAATCCTAGAACACAGGCTATATACTATAGACCATTATGAGAGAGGAAACAATTATCCTAAATTCCCAATTTCAGCTTTTATTTTTATGATACATTTCCAATAATTATTGGTGATATTCCAACAATCCTTTGCACTGTTTCTCAGCACTGTTGTGTAATTCTCCTGAGATGGTGAGGTTATGCCTGGACAGTTCATGTTCCTCATCTATGTTCTTCTTCTCTCCTCTTTGCCTGGTTGCTATGGTAGCACAGTCATCATCATTGATCCTCCAATTGCAGGTCTTGGTATTTATAGACCTTAAGTGGACCCCTCTCTGAGCTCACTGGGCCCCAGCTCTTTGGATGGCCTATATTCAACTTGAATTACCACATAATTATACCCTGTGTACTGCACATGCCACTTTGTAATTACAGGACTGATGCACCAGTAAGACAGTATGGGTCTGACTCATACTGGGAATAGGTTTCTTTAAGCCACTCACATGTATTGAATATGTATGACAACAAACAACCTTGAATCAGCTGTAATGAACAAACTAAATGAATGGTCCCCTCCATTTTGTCCAAGACAAAAAAAGTGTAACCATTTTAGGTAGAAAAACACTTAAAACTACTTAATTCTGAAGATTTACTCTAAGCAGTGCTGAAAGAGTAGTCAGTCAGTCACTATCATTTCAGTCATTTATTTTATATATTTCCCATTTTCCTGTATTTATGTCAAGTCTGAAGCACAGGAAGGTGCCCAAATATTTCATGAACAGACAGGATGTTGTAAGCATAACAAACCAGCATCTAACTGAGGGACATGAGCAGACTATAAAGGCTAGGGACCAGGAGCTAACAAGCAACAGGTGAAAGCACAATGAGTGATAATCACGAGCCGGAGTGAAGCTGTGGCAGGTGAGATGGCACAAACAGGAAACATTACCAAAATAAAAGTACCAAAAAAGGAATTAAGTCCTAAAACCCTAACAATTTAATATCACCTTAAGTTGAAATTTTGGGCTGTTGGTTTGACAAAATCAAAGATGTCAAAATGGAGGGGGGGTGAACCATTGTCTTACATTTATTGACTAAGGGATTCATGGATTAGTCAGAAAGAAATAACCAACTGATTATGAAAGTAACTAATTGCATGGAGTCGGTGACTCTCAATATGCCTCTAATTTCCTCTACCTTGCTAATTAAGGACCGTGAGCAGTGCCCATTACTGGAGGGACTGGTGCAGTGTGAAACAGACACACAGGGTTCAGCTGTGTTCTGTTCCGCATCA